ATTTAACGAGCCAAACACGAACAAAAATAACTTTAACGTAAGTCATGAGCTCGTTCGACTCCTTTACACCTATAGGCATAAATCATAAACTCCATGGAACCTACCATAGGAAAACTTCAACTGTTCCTTCCCATGCTCAAGATATATGGGAGACCGTTCGAGATCTCTATTCAGACTTAGAAAATTCTTCACAAATTTTTGAGTTAAAAACTCAACTTTGAAAATCTAAACAAAATGGTTGTAATGTTACTATGTATTACCATGAGTTGGTAACATTATAAAAAAACTTGATCAATATTATGATGATATTTTAGAGAATTCAAACTTTTATGACTGCCACAAGAAATAAAAGAAAAACAACTAGGTCTACATGTTCTTTGCCGACCTTAATATGAGTTTAGATGAAATATGAGATTGAATCATTGGTAGGAAATCTCTATTCTCAATTCAATAAGTTTATTCTGATGTTAGACATGAAGAGTCATGAAGGAAAATTATATTGCACAACATTGTATCATCTTGTAGCAATAAACAAAAGAACTCAACCATGTTATCAAAAGGGGTTGATGTTGATAAAGAGGGGCGTACGAAATCATGGTGCAAGAATTACAAAAAACTATGACACAAGAATGAGACATGCCGGAAGTTTCACGATAAATCTGTAAATTGGAAATCAAAATTAAGCATGAATGTCAAGCTTATCAAGCCACTGATGAAGAAATTCAGAAGCAAGCTGCTAACTCAAATGCAGTTCCTTTCACCAAGGAGAAATTATAACACTTTCACAAATGGTTTCAATCTCCAAAATTATCCCTAATTCTATCTCACTCATTAGTACAAGAGGGTAACTCTATATCCATTGATTTGTTAGGTGCTATTCTTAAATTTTCTTACTCCCGAATAATTGATTTTAGCACAACAGATGACATGACCAGTTGTTCTAAACTATTTTCCTCCTATAGAACATATGCAGGTAAATAAAAGGTAAAAATTGTTGACGGTTCCCTCTGTCAAACTCTTGTCCTTGTTAACACACTTCGCGATGTTCTCCATAATCATAATTCACTATGTAACTTATTGTCCATTAGTAAAATTATTATTGATCAATGTCACAGTAACTTCTATTCTTCTCATTGTGAGTTTTAGGAATTGATCACAGAGAGAAGGATTGACAGTGCTAAGGAAAAAATTGACTTTATTATTTTGATAATGGATTTGACTTGAATAGACAATATTGAGTGCCAATTTAAATTTTATTTATATTTTAAAAGATAATGAAATTATATTATATCATTTTAAATTAGGTCCTCCTAGTTTTAAGTATCTAAAATACTTATCATCCAAATTATTTCAGAATTAAAATCCTCCTGTTTTATTGTCAAGTTTGTTAGTTTGCTAAACATCATAAAACATCATTTTCTCCAAAAACATACAAATCAACTATACCATTTACCCTAACTTATAATGATACATGAGGTCCTTATAAAATCCTTATACTTTCTGAAAAAAAAAAAAAAAATGATTTGTGACTTTCATTAATGATCACACTAGGTTAAGTTAGGTTTATTTAATGAAAAAAATTATAAGTGCAGATAATTTTCAAAAAAATTCTACACCATGATAAACACAATTTCAAAAAATCATTTAAATATTATAAAATAATAATGGACGAGAGTATTTAAAAAATATTTGGGTCAATTTTCTTTGAAAAAAGAAATAATTCATCAAAGCTCTTATGAGCAATACAACGTGACTGAAAAAAAAAAACACTTATTTGAGTTAGCTCGAGCATTTTCATGTACAAATTTGGTGCCTAAATATCTTTGGGGTGAAGCAATTTTTATTGTTATATTATTCATAAATAAAACCCCTAATAAGACTTTAAACTATAAAACACCCTTTGATAAACACAATGATAAATACAATTTAAAAGAAAAAAGAAATAGTTCATCAAAGCTCTTGTGAACAATACAACGTGGCTGAAAAAAAAACACATATTTGAGGTAGCTCGAGCATTTCCATGTACAAATTTGGTGCCTAAATATCTTTGGGGTGAAGCCATTTTCATTGCTATATTATTCATAAATAACCTTTCTACCTTTAAAGATATTTGGGTATACTGCTTTCGTTTACATTTATCACAAGGTAAACTTAAACCTTGAGCCAAAAAGATGTGTGTTAGTCGGTTATGCTTTTAACCAAAAAGAGTATATATAAATGCTTCGATCCCAATTCTAAAAAAAATGTTTGTTATTATGGATATCACCTTTTTTGAATTATTTTTTTCACATCATCTTCAAGGGAGGGAAAAAACAAAGATTGTCTACCTAGTTTCAAATTTTCTTCAAAGTTAAGACTCCTAAATTAGTATATCTCAAAGATTTGATTGTTCAACCTAAAAACCCAAGCGATATTAAATCAAGAGAGAGTGTGGCGGGCCTTTTAGATATTAAGATTTTAATAATGTCTTCTCATGATATTCAAAACTATAAAGAAACAAGAAAAAAAACTATGACAATAGTACCGTTTGATATTGTCTACTTGCGATCGAAGACAACTCAAAGGAAAGGGTCTACAAATCATTTGCATTGCCCAAATCTGCAAACATGCCGAGCAATGTCTCACTAATCCTTTAACCCAATTTGGTCCACTTCATCTACGAATTCTGAGTTTTTAGTCCTAAATCGGAGCCTAGTTCGAATCTCAAGTCCAATGAGTCTAGCCTTTCCATTGGGGAAAGGTCTTGCACAACATCCATCGTCCCATTATATGTGATGTGAAAATCTCTCACCCACTTTCCAAGCCTTTACCTCATCATTGTCGTGTATGGAAATTTCTAGTACTCTGCATGATGCTTTGAAAGTCCCTAAGTGGAAAATGTTGTTTTTAAGAGAAGAAATCTATTGTAAAAATAACACGTGAGAATTGATCTAGATCTACCTAAAGAAAAGAGAATTATCAGGTGAAAATGTGTGTTTACAATCAAATATAATTATGATGGATCTCTAGAACGATACAGGGCTCAACTGATTGCCAAGAAATTTACTCAAACCTATCATTCTGATTATTTAGAGACATTTATCTCAGTCGCAAAACTAAACCCTACAAGTATTCTTCTGTCATTTGCAACTAATTTTGACTGGTCCCTACAACATTTGGACATAAAGAATGTTTTCCACAATGAAGTCTCGGAGCCTTAGAGTAAGAAATGAATAAGGACGCACCTCCGGGATTTAGTCAAAAGTTAAACAAAAGTATGTAAACTAAAAAAATCCTTATATGGGTTGAAGCAGTCAGCAAGAGAATGATTTGATAAATTTATATTATTTATTCAAAGGTCAGAGGAATACTTAATGACAGATAAATCATACAATATTCTTCAGACATTCAAACAATGGAAGATAGTCATACTAATTGTATATATGGATGAAATTATTCTCACAAAAAATGATTCATATGAATGAACAACTTGAAGGCTTCACTAATGTTTTTAAAACCAAGGACCTAGGATCTCTGAAATATTTCTTTGGTATAGAGGTTGCTCGATCAAAGAAAGGAATTACTATCTCCTAACGGAAGTATGTTCTTGATCTTCTTGAGGAAAATAGGATGAATGGGTGTAGACCTGCAAACACTCCAATTGATCCCAATTAGAAATTGAAATGTGAAGGAAAGTGATCCAATTAATACACATAGATATAAAAAATTGGTGGGAAAGTTGACATACGTATCATATACATGGTCAGATATTGCCTTTGTTGTGAGTTTGGTAAGTTATTTTATGCATCGCCCTATACGAAACAACTTGAAGCAGTCAACAAAATTCTAAAATCTAAAAGGTCACAATACCACACAAAAGAGAATAGAGAAAATGATGTAGATTTGGCAGGCTCAGTTACTGACATGAGATTAACTTCTAGATATTGCACCTATGTGTACTAGTTATATGGCATAGTAAGGAAAAAATGTGGTGTCAAGGAGTAGTGCTTAGATAGAATAGAGGTCTATGGCCAAATTTATATTGTAAAAATAAAGCAATCATAAGCATTGCAAAAAATCCAGCGAACCATGATCACACAAAGCATGTGGAGATTGACAAACATTCAAAAAAGAGAAGACTAATTGTGGAGCTATTTGCATGTCATTTATCCCTATTGCTCAACAAATATCATATATTTTCACCAAATGACAGTTCAAGCCTAATTTTGAGCAGCTTTTAAGCAAGTTAGTCATTATAGATCTCTATGCTTCAACTTGAGAGGATTGAGAGAGAGGGGGGGGGGGGGGGGGTGGAGAATTGGAGAGGGAGGAAGGTTTTTTTTAGTATCTTCTATTATTAATATTTTCTATTATTTGGTTTAGATTATTGGTATTTCATAATTCATGTTTCCTTCTTTTATCATGGGATTTATAGCTGCTATAGGAATCATCCCCCTCTATTTATCATGTAATCATTTTCTATGAAATTAAAGGAATAATTATTTTTCCCCTCTCAAAACATACAAGTTTAAATGAAAGTTTAGGTGTGAGATATATAAATACATACAATTGTGCCAGGTATGTAAATTTCCCTAAATCTTTTATGTCCTAGAAAGCTTTTGCCGGTATGCTAAATAATCAAGGAGAAACTATAAATCCTAGACTTTAAACAGATAAAATTTTTGGAAGATTCTCGAGGATGAATGAAGAGACCTCGCCGGAATAAACTTTAGAAAATCATGAAAATCTAAAAAACCAATATCTTCAATCATTTTCTTCCCACCTTAGGGCAATTGCAGATCCATGAAACATAAGGCCATTGCTTAAAACATTTAAGTTAATTGAAAAAGGAAAAAGCCTTCTGTCATTTTACTGAAACAATTTAAAACGTTGCTGCTAAGTTTCTTTGCCACAATTACCAGCACAGTAATTTATTTTGGTGGAATAAGTCAATAACATTATTAAAAAACCTGAAATTCTGAAAAAAAAAGGAAAGGAAAATGCAATTATTTCCAACTTGCCTTGAAAGAGAAATTACTGAAGGAATAATTCACAGACGCTTCATTACCGAACTCCTCAACACCAGCATAATCCCCCTGCCAGCCATAATTAAATTAGTTTTTTTTATTTTGTCAACCTGCTCTCTACAGGGAAAATACTTTTGGGAAAAACTAAAATTACTACTCTAGCTACAAGAGTTTACTAGTAAGCATTAAAGGTTTTCCTCCATCAACGGTCTTGTCAAATCAAAATAATGATTTTTATAGAATAACTAACTTAAAAAATGAAAATACAAAGACCAGATATCATCATTACCAGTTCATCTTGATGATTGCTTATGCAACTACTGGCACCACTTATGCTGCCATTGTCAGAAGAATCCTCAAAGTGGTTGGCCTCATAAACATGTTCATCTGATGGATTCCATGATAAGCGGCTTGTGAAATAACTAGTGTCAGTTGCACTATCTGAAGAGGGAACAAATGCAGCCTGCAAAGGTAAAGCGTAGGATAATTTCTATGTAGATGACCTTAAACAAGAAAACATGATCTATGCCTTTCAAAATCATGGGGTCACCTTCTGTCTGGCAAGTGTATCCCAGTTAATGTTTTTAAAAAAGGCATGTTGCTTGACCTGAAAATAATCATGCGTGCAATTGAAAAATCAATCAGCTCGAGGCAATCAAAGAACCTGATGAGAATTATCCCGATTAAACTTACTTCAGAAGCGCCTTTTGCTCCAAGTCGTTGATGAGGATCCTCAGTTAATAAACTGTTACAAAGATGGCAGCATGGACAAGGTGATCAGTTAGTGTTTTTTTTTTCTTTTCAATTACTTCGAAAGACGTGAAAAAGTTTATAGTTTTAAGAGAGAAACAGTATCAAATCATTCACAAAAAGACACTAAATAGCTAGACAACCCATGCTGTTTAAGCTTTACCCTTGAGAAACCGTATCAAATCATCTGATTATATTTTATTCTGCCCTCTTATTTTAAAACCTTTCTTATGTTAAGTCCTTTTCAAATATAAATTTTGATTATTTTATTTACCATTCCCTAAATTTGAAGTTTCCTCTCTTTATTTCCTTACATAAATCTGAAATCCTGATTTGATTCTTCTTTCTTATTTTAAGTATTGTCTAAAATAAATCTTAGCCTCATTATAAATAGAGGATGATGTACTTAAGAGTTGGGAGTCTTCTGTTGGTTTTATTTTTAGATTTCCTAAGTGGAGTCTTCTTCCTCTCAAGGCTTGTATCCGATGGTTAGAGTGGTGCTCCGGTTGTATCTCTCTCCCCGGCAATAATTTTATCTTCCTTGTTCCTGTTTCCAGCAGTCTACCTTGCTGTCCAGCACCTTCCCGCCGTCCCAAACTGCCTGCACCTTTGCTATATTGCTTGCAACCCACCCATCCTTGTTGCCACCCCCACAAAACAATTAAACTTTGCAGTTCTTGCCGTTTCTGCCCCCAAGTTCTTGCTGTATCTGCACAGGACAGAGAGCCCATTAATTGTTCCTGCAGTTTTCTCACCTCGCCTTCCCTGCCGCCACCCCCGCTAGTCATCAGGATCCACCTAGTAACCTCCACGGCCCTTGGGATGCACTCTCGAGGTGTTTGTTGTGTCGTTTTATGAGTTGGTGATGTTATTTTCAGTTTGTGTGTGTTGTAACCTTATTTCCTTATTAATAAAAATTGTTCTTGTGATTTGAGTTTTCTCCTTCCGTATCAAAATAAAAACTCTAATTAACTAGTACTAGCAAGCATTCAGCATTTTGGGCTAGCAAAAGAAGAATAACACTCTGAGATGTTAGATTATGTCCATTTATTCTCCCATCTTTCAGTTTTATTCTCATTCCCTACCTTTTAGATTGAGGATTTGGTCCTTTGCTAGAGTCTCTGGAGAGTGAAAAGTTGGATGCGAAACTCAAGTTCCATGATGACTAGCGTTCTCTTCTCCTTCAAGAATACGGATAGGTGTTCTCAATTGTTTTAATGGAAAATTTTCTCCTCTAACATCTATTGATCAAATGTCATGTTGTGTCAAAGACCATGCCTGTGTGTTCCCTCTAGAGAATAAGCCATGGTATTTTTCCTAGTTCGATTTTTAGGTTTGTTCTCTAATTGATCCACCCAAGAGTCCTTTATTGATTCGTCTCACTTATGATGCTACTGAGCCTTGGATGAAAGTGCTTTTGATTTTGGTCTATAAAATATTGCGTTTTTGCGTTTTTTCATCTCAACAATATTGTGATGAAATCCACGTATGACTCGCAATTCCTAGCCTCCGTCTCGGTTGTTAATTGATTTGTGGTCAATGGCTTAACTATTTCAACAAAAATTTATAAGAAACACTACAGTTGGTTTACATGGCTTATTTGAGCCTTTTCAGGTGTTGGTTCACTCATATCTTGAGGGGATTTTTAATCACATCATATTACTTGCTTTGGTATTCTATAATTATAATTCATGGGAATATGAGAAATGTAAAGCTAGTTCATCAATAATAATTATTTTAAGTATGTTTTCTTTTCATTTGTGATTGAGTATTGGATGCAAGAAGTGACTACCATATAGCACAGATACCATCTCCTCGAACTGCTATGAAGCTTGGATTGCTATTCTCTATTTCTATTCTATATTTTTTTATTGGTCTATATGCATGATTGGATTTGGTCAAAACTAGCACAACTTGATATTTCTAACTGTGGCGTGCTTTTAATTGACGTGTAGCTTTTGCTGATCTTAAATTGTAGTGTTGAATTTCTATTTATGTTATTATTAAATTATAATTTATGCGACTTCAAGTGTTTTTAATTTTAATAAAAGAAAATTTTGTTTTAAAAGATTATCTGTGAAATAAAAATTTTGATGTCGTGAGCATGTTTTTTTACATTAAATCATACAATTGTATTACAAAATAGTTAATCCCGAGAATTCTTACATAAGATTTAATATTAAAGCTTAAAATAATACCAATAGGTCAACTAAAATTGTAGTGAGATATCAAAGGCCAATTAACAAATCATAAAAATGATAAAATTTTGGAAACTTAGAAAAACCAATTTACTGGGTTTCAAAATAAACAAAATTAAGAGAGGATGCAAGTCAGGTGTTGCTGGATTTTGAGGACATAATCAGATGATCCACCTAATGAATTATCACCACTAAATATCAAACTCATACGACTAGATTAGATGTTAGCTTAGATTGACTAGAGCATATACATTTTCAAAAATTTACATGAGAAGTAGCTATCATCAACTAAGCATATGATAAAAAGATGAGTGAAAACTGCTTATAAAACTAAGAATAAAATATATGAATAGTTGGCTATGCTTTATATATGTAGTTATTTACTATTGCAGCTTTAATGAGAAACATATATCATGCTCTTCAACTAACTTTTCATTGGCCAATTTCTAGGGCAAGTTAAAAAGGATTGTTTGATGCACCTTGGAAAAATGTTTGACGTGCTACAAATTAATAAATTTTACCTACATTTAAAAAAAAGGGTTGTTTCGTTGTATTTGTGATATTCTTAGGATTTGTTGTGTCAAGTGGTGAGCTATTTGTTAATTTTGATAAAATGAACATAATTAATAATTAAACACCGCCTTTTAATATTCATGAGATTAAGAATCATTATGATATGGCTATTCACCATAGACAATTCATTAAAGGATTGAGAACTGTAATGACATAAGTTTAAAATTGTCTTAAAGGAAACTTTAACGGACAATCAATTGATCATATTTTTAAAGATATTAAGATAATAAATTTTAAGTTTATTAAACTTCAACCAGATAAAAAGTTTTTTAAATTTCAAGTTTCTTGAAAACAATTATAAATAATAAATACATCTAAATGTTAATGCCATTCAACATGCCCTATATGGTTTTATTTATAAATCTGCAAAAAATAATTAAACCTAAAACAAAAAAGAATTATAAAACTTCAATTTCGGTCATTTTAATGCATGATTCTTTAAAGATTGTATTACCAAATTATTCATATGAATTAACAATTTTAGCACGTATGATTCGGTTGAAGTGAGGGATAGATTGAGGTTCTCTAATGTTTGGATTTAAACATAACCTCATTTTCAAAGTTAATTTTAAATTTAAGTAATGACTGTTGTTCAAATTGACATGGATAAATAGATTAGTGAATATTATGTTTTAGGTTCGGATGCAAACTATGATTTAATTTTTAATGAATATCAGAATTATGATCATCTCATAATTATATCTCATCTTCTATATCTAATTCATCATAAAAAAATATTCATGAATTACACTTTCAGTAGAAGCGAATTGAATATATATGATTTTGGTGGTGTTGTGAAACTTTATATTACACGCACAAAGCTCTATTAGAAGTTTTCTCTATTGTCTTTGCAGAATTGGAAGTTAATTCTTATTTTATTTTATGCCAACACTTTCCACGGCACTCTAGCAGAAATAGGAGTTGTCAACGCTCGCATATTGGATAGAGATAGGAAGTACACGCCATAAAAAAAGAAATTCCATAAGACACTGTAGAGTAGGTATAGAATAAGCCCTGCACCACTATTTGCTTTGGTTTTGGTATCATCTACTATTTGTTGTAATTTGGAAGTCAAAGTCTGAAAGGTAAAATGAGATATCGTTATATATCTTCTTATCCATTGATGATTGTGTTCAGATTCAACATACATGAAGTGTAAAAAACAATGAAAACCTCATGCATGGTAACCCTGAGCAAATTAGGCAAAAACAATAAATTTATGTAAATGAAATAGTAGAATAAATGAAAAAATTAGTTTAATTTTAATGATGATTTAAAAATTCAGATTTGGTTCATAATAATATTATCTAAATCTAGGATTAAAAAAGGCTCAAGCTGATGCAGAACTAGCCATCAAAATATTTTTGAGAATGATATATAAAAGAGGGCAATTCAACACCATATGTTACAATCCGAATATATTTATGTTTTACGGCTGCTACCTGTGTGATTGAAAGCCTGGATATAGGCATAATGATCCTAACTACATCACAGGCTTCTAATGATTCATAGATAAAAAAAAGAGGCACCAATGAATTAAAAGAAAACATTAAATGACATGGATGATATTATAATTACAGAAGGTAAGGAAATAATGAGCATGCCAAGAGTACAAAAGATTGTTGCCAGCTACGTACCTATCAATAAGATCTTGTGCTTCCGCGCTCATCTCTTCTGGCACTCCGGGCCAAGGAATTTTACGATTTAGAATATTGTCAAAAATCATCTACAATATCAAAGATAAAAACCAAAATTATGCTCGGAACAATAATGAACCATTAGCCTATAGTGTTGTTGATATTACCAAAAAAATGAATTGAAAGTTCCAATATTAAAAAATATATAAACAACGTGAAAAATGAAGTGAAAATGCATGCATAGCCATTGTATCTCTTATTGCGCTTCTAAAATGAAGGTTAAACTAGAAGATTGGTTTCATTCAGTATTAAATTACCAAAATAACAGCAATGCAGGACAAGCAAAAAAGGTGAAAAACTGAAAAAATTGCAACCACCATAATTGACCTAGATTTCATAAGTAGATTTAGGTCAACTCTTAGCTCTAATCATGTATAACATGTGATACTAAAAAATACAACTGAGAAAGAACTAGAAATCCTTGGTATGCTAAGAAAATTCAAAGCCGCTGGCAACCGAGAAGCTGCCCGAAAAAATTATTAGAAAATTTATCTATGATTTAAGACAAAAGCACACTCAGGAGGACACATACTACCCACATGCACAACTTGTGTGCTCCTATGCGATATATATATATATAATAATGAAGATGATTAGATGGAAGTGGTTGGGGAGTGGAAAATTGGACTATTAGATGGAAGACATATTCTCATACAAATTAATAATGAAGAGGATTACACGCGTTTATTTGCTAGAAGAATAATCTGGATTGATAACAGAGCAATGAAGATTCTCAAATGGTCTGTAAATTTTGACCCTCAGACGGAGCCTCCGATCGTTCCGATTTGGATTCGCCTCCCTGGTCTGAAATTTCATTATTTTACTCAAAAAGTTTTGTACGCTATTGCCTCAGCTTATGGTAAGCCACTCAAAACGGACATTCCTACTTTTAATTTTTCTCGTCCATCAGAAGCCAGAATATATGTTGAAAGAGACATCACTTCATCTGCTTTTGAGGAAATTTGGTTAGACACACAACATCATGGGTATTAGCAAAAGATAGTGATTAAGCATTTTCCTTCATATTGTTCAAACTGTCGTATGTTCAGCCACTCCAGTTCTCAATGCCACCATCTACATCCACACCTCAGACCAAAAAAGCACAGTGCTCCGCCAGAGATAGTGATTTCATCTCCTCCTGATCAACTCCAAGTTATTGACAATATTGATCATCAAAAGAATGCCCCCGAAGACGTCAGTGTCCCCGCAGACAATATTCCAACAATTCAACCGTCTTTGGAACCTCCTATCGTGGGTGAGAAAGAGATTCTTCAGACCCCACTTGCCCTAGAAATTATCACCGTTATTACAGGTTGCAATACTTCTACTGTTTCACTACCGCATCATCAGATCGAGCAAGCTGTAACTATCACTCAAGATAATGGGATCATGTTGTGCAACAGCTTACACATGTTCAACCAACTTTGGAACAATCTATAGATCAAATGAGTCAATCATCAGAAGAGGAATAACAGGTCTACACATCGAGGAGGAAGAAGAAGAATGGAGAACTACTTGAGCTCAGGAATCTGATGAAGGAATCTGATGAATGATACTTTGATACTTTGGTTACTTCGGGCAATAACAATCACCTTACTAATTTGTTAGCAGACTTAATTCCAAGAACTAGAGGCAGAGGGAGGACTCAAGTGAGACGTCTCTAACATTTTTGCGCCATTTGGTGGCTTTTTGGTTTTCTATCTTTATGTATCTTTGCTTTATTTGAGTTTTGTGTGTGTTGTATTGTGTGAGTTGAGATTTCTTTTAAGCTCTCTCATACAACTTTTCTGGATCTTTTTCCGTTTTTAATAAATTAGCCCTTGGGCTTTTCCCAAAAAAAAAAAAAAAAAAAAAAAAAAAAAAAAAAAAAATAAAAAAATAAAAAAAAAAAAAAATTTTAAAAAAAAGGAAAAAAAAAAAAAAAAAAAATATATATATATATATATATATATAGAAAAATGTTCATGTAAAACGAGATGGACCTGCGGATGCTCTGCATTGAATGGTGGAATTCCAACAAGTAGCTCAAAGAGGATAACACCAACAGACCACCAATCAGCTGTAGCGCCTGCAAATTGCAAACCACCATAAATGTAGTTCAAGAAGTAAGAGCAGCAAGTAGACCAAAAAGAAAAAAACCAATAGCAACCATCAACACATCAATTTTTATACTAACCATGCCCTGTTCCCAAGAGAATCTCTGGAGCCAGATAATCAGGTGTACCGACAGCAGAACGTTTCTTTCGTCTTTCCCGCTGATCCAAGTGCTCAAATGGAGATATTTGGACCTCATCATCTCCGAGCAGTGATGTCCCGCTAACAACTGGTCCAGATAAATCATCCGTACTGTTGATGAGACCAACCTTGGATAGTCCAAAATCTGTCAGCTGTGGATGGGTAAAATAAATAAGTTCATGAGCACAATGTAAAGGCTCACAAATTTCTTGTTTTCTGAAGGAGATATACTACCAGGCCCCAAGGTGTGCCATAAGAAAAGATTGGTTCACCATTATTTATCAAATTTTGGATAAGTTTCATTTTATTCATTAATTTAAGAAAAAGAATTATGCATAGTAGAATGTTGCATGGACTAATTTCTCAAGATTTTCTTTCCTATCTTTTCTCTCAAGGAAAAAGGATAAAAACTAGAGGCCCCCGTTTTTTTTTTCCCTTTTGTGGTTTGGCCAATCACCTCCACCAATCTCGAAAAAAGGAAAAAAATGACAGGAGAATGATGTTGAGTGGCTTTCAGTTGGCCCCACATTCTACCAGGAGAAAAAAGAAAAAGGAAATCTAGATAAGGGTGATATACCAACATGAAAAAATAAAAAATAGAAAACCTATGAGAAATTATTCAAAAAAGAAATGTATTTACTTCAGTGTATAAATAACTGTAAAAAACTAATTAATAATTTGATAAACTAATGATGAACTATTAAATAAAAAGGGACGAAGATGTTACCAGCAAAGAAATTGAGCCTAGAGAACTCTTTTTTAAAAATAAATATAAAATTTACTGGGTCAATAGCAGAAAAATATATATGACGCAGCCTTGCACTGCAAAAATATATTTGATTTATAGAAATATGTACACATGTATGTTTGATTCAAAATAAAAGTACCCAAAAGACAGATTTTGAAATATAGTAAACAATAAAGTAACATATTTGAGATTTGAGCTGCAATATTAGCACAAGTTTGCCAGTAATGATTATCTCATTTATCGAAAAAGTAGAACATAGATTCAAACTGAGTTTCTTTACAAAACTGCTGTCACAAATATATTGTTGTTATTCATAGGAAAGTTTGATTTCACACATCAAATTGAATGAGGCGACAATAAGTATCTATACCTTTTACCTGTGCGGCCCTGCATTCTCATTCATTGTATGACTCATAGATCAAAAGCGAATCATTTTTTCTCCAAACAGAAATCTATCAAATCCATTCACACAAAGATTGGCTTTAGCAATGCTCCTAATAATTCTTATATCATTGACATTGACAAAGATGATCATCAAGATTACTATAATAGACTACTCGTTCTTATCTTGTATTGCATCTCCCCAATGTGTCAAAAGCATGGTGAATTTTTGTTAAGGAAGAGGCAAGCAAGACAATATCTTAACTAAATATGCATAGACGGTAAATTTTCTTATATCATGAGAAATTTTTGAAGGACAAAGGGTTAAAAACATAACAATTACAAAACCAATAAAAATATGAGTATTACCTTGATATGGCCATCATGTGCAATAAGCAAATTATCTGGCTTCAGGTCTCTATGTACCACTCTTAATGAATGTAAATATTCCAAAGCAAGAACCTTGAAAGCGCAGGCATCAAAATGTTAAAAGGCTACATACACAAACCAAGAAGAAAGAACTAAAGTAACAGAGTTCATACAACTTCTGCTATATATATCCGAGCAACCTCCTCATCCAAGCAACCTAAATTTCTTAGCAACGAATACAGGTCTCCTCCATTCAAGTACTCCATCACAAGATATAAATTCTCCCGTGATGTAAAAGAATAAAAAAACCGCACCTATTAGATTTTAAAGGAATCAATCAACATCAAATTCAGAGAGAAATAAAAAAAAAAAAAGAAAAGTAAGGCAAAACATCAACCAATCACAAGATTATCCCACCACAAAAGGATTTCGAACTGAGATTAATATATCACGTTCTGCCAATATGCTCTCCACAGCATTTTTGCGAATCATGTCAGCTTTTCTAAGAACCTACACAAACGGTTAGAGAAAACAAAAGCATCAATCTGCTTGTACTTTATCAGCTGTATTTTAGTAAGCTGTTTATTGAATCACTGAAAGCGAAAAAGATGAATTCTTGTGCTTCATTAACATTGAAAATGTTAGTTACAATTACATAAAGTAGGTATAACAGAGTTGGAGTCTAAACTACATATTTTTAAATCCACAGAAGCACAGAATTAATCAATAAGACAAGCTTCTTTACGTAATTTTTTTTCAAGCAGCTTCATGATATGATTCAAAAACCAGGACAAAATATCAGAAAAACCACTGTTGCTTCATGTTATGATTCTAAAACCAGGACAAAATGATATGATTCAATGAGTGTCGTGCCAAGTTCAAAATATGCAGCAAGAAGTAATATATTAATATTCTAGCATATCACTACATTAAAATGTAACATATTAACATATATAGTAAAAGTAATAGATTGTTTAAAGTAAAAGTAATTATGGAACATTAATCATAATATAAGAAGTAAAAGTAATTATCGAACATTAAATCAATATAAGAAGGGCTATACAAGTATCAAAGTAAGATATAATTAATAATAATTCAAAATAAATTCAATACAATTAGTCTCTTTCCTACTCCTATTCTCCTGCATCAAAATAGAAACATAACAACCACTCCAAGTAGAATTTCTAAATTCAAAATTTAACATCAATCGTATCACTTGATGATTCTATATAATCAACATAATGATTTACTTTCTCCCTCACCTCATCCTCAATATCACTTTTTTATCAATGTTCTCTAATTCCTCCTCATCTTAAATTTAGATCAACTTCATCTTATTTAATCAATAATAATTAAGAATAATATTCATTAGAATTTCAAAAAATTACTATGATGAAAGTAACAACATCAATTACATTCTCAATGGCATATTACATGAATAATAAATGTTTAATAGAATTATTTTACCAATATTTATATTTAAAAAAATATTCTAGAATTAATTGCGTATGCGTCTCAACAAAACTAAAGTGAGACACGCCTTGATATAGGTCGCACATTATGCAAGGCTTATGTATGCAGTAACCAATGAGGCATAAGCCTCAACATGAATATTCCAAAATTAACAACTTTAAACAAAGCCATAAACTGATGGGAACCTCATGTAGATGGTAAACAACATGCCCAAACCGTGTAAATCATAGCATGCAGAGCATCTGCGATTCATGGTCCATCCTCATCCTTATTGAGATATCTTTCAACAAAATGTTTATTTATTTATTTTCCTTGGCATAACACTGCCGTTGCTGATCCCAAGCCCGGATGCAAAAAGTAGAGGGTTGTGTTAGGTAGTCCACAACCAGCGTAAAACTTGTCGGAAAAAAACCATGACATGAATCCTTTTGATCATTGTGTAAGTGCTAGGGCGTCCCTTGGAAGCGACACGCTATATAATTTGAATATAGTGAAAAGTGTGCAAGGGCCGTTACACCGACACCCGGGTGTAGTGTTAAATAAGCAAGGGTTCCCACATTACGGGCGAATGCGAGTAAAGAAGTTAGTCCATGAAACTGATGAAACTAATATTAGGATAGGATCTTGGAATATAGGTACTCTCAATGGTAAATTAATGGAATTAGTTGATATTATGATTCATAAAAAAATTAATATCTTATGTATTCAAGAAACTGAGTTAGAGAAAAGACTAAGGAGATTGATAATTTAGGTATTAAACTTTGGTATTCTGGTAAGAGTCGGACTAGAAATGATGTTAGTGTATATATAGATAAGAGTTTGAAAGATAATGTTGTAAAAATTAAAAGAGTTGGTGATAGAATTATAGCCCTTAAGATTACCATTGATACTAAGATTTTTAATATTATAAGTGTTTATGCTCCTCAAGTGGGTTTAGATACAGGGTCTAAAGATAAATTTTGGAATGACTTAGAAGACTTAATACAAATGATACCTCTTGAAGAAAGAATTTTTATTGGAGGGAGGAGATTTAAATAGACATATTGGTAGAGTGGTAGAAGATTTCAAAAATATTCACGGTGGCTACAATTTTGGAGTAACTAATAAAGAAGGTAGAGCTACTTTAGATTTTGCATTAGCGTATGATTTTGTTATTACTAATACTTTAATCAAGAAAAGAGATGAACATCTTATTACTTATAAGAGTGGATCTTTAAGAGTTGTAAAATAAAAAATACTAAGACTCATCATTGCAAAATTAGATGGAGAAACTTGAAAGACACAAAATTATTTTTATGAGTAAACTTTAAGATTTCAAAATTTAGAATATTCAGGAAGAAGCAGATGTGATGTGAGATAAAGTAACAAACACTATTAAACAAGTAGCAAAACATGTGTTTGGAGAATCAAAAGAAAAAGTATTTACAAATAAAAATAGTTGGTGGTGGAATATTAATGTGCAAGAAAAGATAAAATATA